AGGCTCAGCAGGAGGTGACCACCTACTACATCATGTTCCTCAGTCCATCACTGAAGAAGATAATGCCTACCTTACAGCTCAGGTGGAAGAAGATGAAATTAGATTGGCCTTATTCTCAATGAACCCGGGTAAATCTCCAGGCTCAGATGGCATGCCAGCGTTGTTTTTTCAGCACTTTTGGCCTATGCTGAAGGGAGATATTTCCAAAGCTGTCCTCAGTTTCTTTCAAACTGGTAAACTCCTCCCCTACTGGAACCATACCTTGATTGCTTTAGTGCCTAAATGCGAAGCCCCAGAGAACTTGTACCAATTCAGGCCTATCAGCCTCTGTGCGGCTGTATACAAGCTAATCTCCAAAATCCTTGCTTATAGATTGAGAAACTGCATTGATGGTTGCATAAATGAGGCACAATCTGCTTTCCTCCCTGGCAGGCTATTGAGTGACAATGTCATTATTGCAAATGAAGGTCTGCACTTCTTGAATAGACATAGAACAGGTAAACATGCTTTCATGGACCTCAAATTAGATATGATGAAGGCTTTTGACAGGATAGAGTGGAATTGCATCAGGCTGACTATGCTTAAAATGGGCTTTTCTCTTCATTTTGTGAACTGAATTATGCAGTGTGTAACTACAGTTTCTTATTCTTTTATCATTAATGGTTGCACAAGTGGTTATATTTCTGCTGAAAGAGGGATTAGGCAGGGAGATCCACTATCTCCCTACCTATTTATTATTGTTTCAGAAGTCCTATCTGCTGTGATCAATGCTGAAAAAGAGAGAGGGTTATTCAGAGGGGTTTCTGTGGCTAGGGGAGCTCCTATTCTCTCACACTTATTGTTTGCTGATGACTCACTGATTTTTTGCAAGGCTGACAAGTATCAAGCTCAAGTTCTTCAACTTACCAGATACCAAAGTTTCTCTGGCTAAAAAGTGAATGTGACCAAATCCTCTGTATTTTCAGTAAGAACACAAGCATGACAGCTCAATTTGAAGTATGCCAAGTATTTCCAGGCATCCAGGTGCAGAAATCAACAAGATATTTGGGGCTACCATTAGGCATTGGGCAATCAAAGAGAGAAGTCTTTGGCTTTGTGACTGAAGCTGTCCATAAAAGACTGAATAGCTGGAAAAACAAGCACCTCTCCACAGCTGGCAAGGAGGTCCTAATCAAATCTGTTCTTACAACCCTACCTCTATTTGTAATGGCCTGTTTCAGGCTTCCCAGCAGTATCTGTAAAGAAATCTCAAGTCTCTTTGCCACATTCTGGTGGAGCAAGGGTACTGATCATCCAAGAGGATTACACTGGAAGAGATGGAATTTTCTGACACTAACTAAACAGCAGGGTGGCTTGGGCTTTAAAGATGTCAGACTCTTTAATGATGCCTTGTTAGTCAAACAGCTCTAGAGAGTAGTCCCTCAACCTCACCTACTTATGAGCAAAATAATCAAAAGCAGGTACTTCCCTAAATCCTCACTTTTTGATGCTGACCTGAAACCAAGTTCTTCTTGGCTATGGAAATGTTTTTGGAAAGTGAGAGGGCTGTTAAAGGAAGGACTGCAAATTGAGATCAGAAATGGGAGTTCTGTCAGACTCCAAGATTTTAACTGGATTCCTGGTATCATAGGTAGAGGCCCAAAGCTGCATGATCCTACTGTTAATGGGAACCTCTGGGTAAAAGACTTTATTTCCATGGACACTGGTCAATGGAATGAAACTAGACTCAGGGACCTAATTGCAGAAGATGACTGCGAGGAAATACTCAACATACACACTCTGGACTTAAATTCTGATGACAAATGGAATTGGAAAATGGGTGAGAAAGGCAGATTCTCTGTTGCTTCTTCATATACCTTCCTCCACCAGCAGAAACTCCTAGCTCTGGACATACCTGAAGGCAGCAGCACCTCCAAAAGGAACCAAGAAGTGAGACTTAGAACATGGAAGCTGAATATCAAGAGCAAAATGAAGCATTTTATGTGGAAATGTGTCTCTGATATACTTCTTCCGGTCAACACAAATTTAATAAGCAGAGGTATAAATGTTGATGCCATTTGTAGCTGTTGTGGAGAGCAAGCTAAAATCGCTGAGCATATCTTCTTTGAATGCCCCAGAGCACAAAAAGTTTGGCAGAAGTCTCAGGTCACATGGGATGGTATTTATTCAAAAGACTGCAAATTCAAAGACTGGTGGGGTTCAATTTGCTCAATCAAACAGAGAGCAGTGGATGAGGCTAGGATAGAGCTCACTACATATATTTTGTGGTGGCTCTGGAAAGCTCGTAACCTCTGGATATTTGAGAAAGCTTGGAGAATAGATAAATGTATCTTAACAGGTGCTTGGAATGAATGGCAAGAGGCAGCAAAGCTTGGCAGCAAACATAAGATCAGAGGACAAGGAAGCATAGCTAGGTCTGTGTAGAGCAGTTCAGTGGCTTGTCTTTTTTCTCCTCTTTATTCTGCTGAGTTGTTTGTGTCTTTAGACTCTCACTGGAGGTCTCAGTGTTCTCTTACTGCCTTTGGTGTATTTGTAATCTCTTTTATTCTAGCCTACTATTACTAGTAGTGCTCTCTGGCTTTGCCTTCGGCATTAGGGTATTTGTTCTTGTATTTGAACTATCATTTTCGATTCAATGAGAATTTCCTATCGTTATTGAAAAAAAAAAAGCGAGCTTTAACCATAATAATTTGTATTTTGTTATGTAAAGAAAATATAAAAACTCTTAATTTAAAACAATATAAAAAAAAAAATGTTATAATAGGTAGAACTAATCTTGGTTTATTTCTCATCCGTCGCCCCCAATACTCCAATTTCCCCCAAATCCCATCGTCGCCTCCTTTAAAATTTTCCATCGCCTTCCCCGGTAGGGCCCGGTGAGTGCTCGGTGGGGCTCAACTGGACTTCACTGCCCTTATCTGAGAAGATGCACCACTAGGAGGGGAGCTTTTTCGCCGGGGAGAGGGTTGCGCCGTCTTCCGGCTTCGGCCTCGGGGCTGGGTTTGAGTGGCGGCCGGCTGTTCTTCCTCCGGTATATCCGTTGCGGCTGCCTCTGGCGCTCTTTTGGTGAGGGCTGCGACCCCAATTTCCCGATCTAGGGTTTTGGGGTGGAGACTTTGTCCGGCCAGACTGTTCTTCTCGGCCAGGATGCTGGTTTTCGTTGGAGCGGTCGTCGGCTCTGGTTCGTGGCGTTGGTCGGCTCTGGTAAGGGACGTTGGTCGGCTCTGGTTCTAGAGGTCGGATTCGTTGTCGACGAACCTAGTTCTGGGTGCTGCTCGGCGCTTGAAGGGATGGGGTTCTGGGTGTCGATTTCGTTGTCGATGAGCTTGGGGCTGGTGTTGGACGGTGCTCGTATGGCTGGACTAATTAGCTCTGGACTAATTAGCTCGAGGCTCGGACCATTGTTACTGACCGTTTGGCTAGACGTTTTGGTCTCCGGGTGTCAGTGGAGTTGTTCGGTTGGACGAGGGTTAGCCCGATGGTTCCCGACTCAGGCGTTCTCTTGCAGTTTCGGGGTCGGACTCTTGGGCCGTGACTCTGCCATTGTTGTGCTTGGCGTGGTCTCCCGATTGGGGAAGGACTTTGCTTTTGTTTTTTTGGTATAGTCTTGTGTTTTGTTCGTTTGTTTGAGTCTGTGTTATTATTGTTCCTTGTTATTGTATATTTGGTTTGGGCCACTTGGTCCCTGGGAGCCCGAGTGTAACTTTATTATCCTGTTGGGATTCTACACTCGGGCATTATCCTGTTGGAATCTTTGTAGTTGTTTTAATTTTTGTTTGTGTTAGTTTGTTTTAATCTTTGTAGTTGGTTGTGTTAATTTTTGGTTGCTTTCTTTTCACACTTTGTGAGGTTTTATTAATATAATACCTCTATCGGGAAAAAAGAAAATTTTGGTTTATTTTCTATAAAAAAATTGTTATTTAAAAAAAATGAAAATTAATAATTTATATATTGTGGAATCTTTGTAGTTGTTTTAATTTTTGTTTGTGTTAGTTTGTTTTAATCTTTGTAGTTGTTTGTGTTAATTTTTGGCTGCTTTTTTTTCACACTTTGTGTGGTTTTATTAATATAATACCTCTATCGGGAAAAAAGAAAATCTTGGTTTATTTTCTATAAAAAAATTGTTATTTAAAAAAAATGAAAATTAATAATTTATATTGTGGAATCTTTGTAGTTGTTTTAATTTTTGTTTGTGTTAGTTTGTTTTAATCTTTGTAGTTGTTTGTGTTAATTTTTGGCTGCTTTCTTTTCACACTTTGTGTGGTTTTATTAATATAATACCTCTATCGGGAAAAAAAAAAATCTTGGTTTATTTTCTATAAAAGAATTGTTATTTAAAAAAAATGAAAATTAATAATTTATATATTGTTAATTTTAAAAATATAAAAACATGTTATATTGTAGTTTAGTACTCCCTCCTATTCATAATAAGTGTCGTTTTAAGAAGTTACACACTAATTAAAGATATTTTTTTTTGTCAATAATAATCCTATTTAATGAAGATAGAGAATGATGCATTTTTTTTTGTCAATAATAACCCTATTTAATGAAGATAGAGAATGATGTTTTGGGAAAAAATGAAGAGTTAATATGAAAAAATGTAGTGTATTTATTAGCTAAATGAGAGTAATAATGAAAAAATATGTACAAAAGATCCAAAACTGACATTTATTTGGATAAGAGGTAGTAATAATTAAAGAAAGGTAAAGATCATTAGTTAATATTGAAAAAGAAAAAAAAAACGTATAAATAAAATCATGTTATACATACTCTCTTCCAAATGAAATATATAAATATTATTTTTCAACTAAAAACATAAATTAAAAAAAAATATTTTATTAATTTTAAAAATATTAAAAATATATTAACACTAATAATTAGTATGTTTCTTTAAAACATAAAAAATATATTACACTCATATACTAATCACTAGATAATAATTATTCTTAATAATTAATATCTATTAATTATTCATATGTAAACTGCGCTCCCATCTTCCACTATACCAAGTTTTCTTCCTCACTCGCAATACCGGTTAAAAAAGTAGGGATTGTTATCCGCCACACAAACTATTGGATAAAATGAATTATTAGATTTGAACTTTACGCCGCCATATATGAAGTGAAGGGCATGAATAGTGTTGGCACGCATTCAACCAGACATATTGGAAAATACAGAATGTCTGGACTTCAATTTACCACCAGCATACGAATTACATGATATTTTTCATTTGCAGGTATCGATATAATTATATTATACTAATTAGGTATTTATAATTATTATTACATGTATAATTTAATATATGTACAATTAATATATTTACAATTGTAATCTATCTTTTTTTATCACATAATTTAGTATATGTAGAATGAATATATTTATAACTGTAATCTATCTTTTTCCTTATCTATACTTATATAAAAAGAATTACTATTTACTAAATATAGCAAGCAAAACAAATTTCAAAATTTCTAAATAAGAAAGGGATAGAAGTTTAAATAAAATATGGTTGCTTTAACAAACTTATAGGGAAAACAGAAAAAAATAAAAATAAAAAAAATCTTTAATTCAAATTCAATTGTTAACAATTTCCTAATAATTTTCATGCAAATCTTTAATTCAAATTCAAATGTTAACAATTTCCTAATAACTTTCCTACAAAATTGCCCGCATAAATAATGATAGATATGAAATTTAGCAGTATTCAAAAGTTAAGGAGTAATTCAAATTGTAGAGAATTTAAAATGGTACGAGTTTGCATCATTCATTTTAGTAAAAAAAAAAAAACTTAAATGAATTTTATTAAAAAATTAACTTCATTTAATTAACTTGCACTAATTATACCGTCCATGCAAAGAAAAAAAAACACAATTATATTTATGCAATTAAAAAAAGTGTATGCTACAACATTGGATATTAATCCATACATCATAGGTACTCACTTAATAAATCTTCACCACATCATTTGTTGGAATAAAAAACTTAATAACAAAAAATAAAAAAAAAAAATGGGACTATGTTTACTTGAAAGACTATCAACAAATGTACAGATTTTTAAATTCATTTTCAAATTGAAACTTTAGATTCGTACCAAATTGAATTGAATAATATAATTTAATTAGAAATGTAGGAGTTTCTTAGAAAAAAAACTATCAAGCAATTTGCATTGGTTTTCAAAAACACATATATACTGATTTCTAAAATTATGGGGATTGTTTACTTGATATAGATTATGACCACGTGTATAGATTTTAAAACCATCATGAAATTCAAATTGGAATAATATGATTTAATTAGAATTGTAGGAGTTTGTTAAGAACAAAAACTCTCTGTGAGTTTGCATTGATTTTCAAAAACAAATAAATACGGATTTCTTTTATAAAGAAATCATTTATTCGTATTTCATCATAAATCTTAAAGATGTGTACTTTGTTGATACGTGTTTGAATAAAAATCTTAATAACGAGATTTTAAAATCATTAGATAAAATTGATAAATGAAGTATATGCATCGTAGAATTGTTAAGTCTCCGTTTATGTTATACATTTGAATACAAATTTTGATAATGAGATTTTAAAATTATTATATAAAACTGATAAATGAAGCATATGCATAAAACATGGAGTTATTAAAGCCTCCGTTTATTTTATACTCAAATTGATGACGAAATAATTTTCGGTATCATCTCAATATTTATTTTATATATAATATGTAAATCTTCTCTCAATTTTAATATTTTAGACATAAATTTTTTTATGTTCTTTAAATAAGATAATTTTATATTGTTACAATAGACTATATAAAGTAAATTTTATCACATGTAACCCCACATCTTTAATTTATAATTATAGTTAATATTGCTTATCCTAATATTTAGTTTATAATTAATATTAGTATTATTATTATTTTTTTTTGGTACAATGAAAGAGGTCATAAGCCTATATTAGGACTCGACGGGGTTACGACACTCCAATAATATTATGCTCTAACCAAACTCCCAGAACCGAAGGCGGGGAACCTACTCGCTGAAAGTTGGGATTATTAGTATTATTTACCCGTGCATAGTGCTGCAAACGAACCGAACCGAACCGAGCTTGGGCTGTTCGAGCTCGAGTTCGACTGATATTCGAACATGTTCGAGTTCGTTCGTTTATTAGTCGAGCCTAAATTTTTGTTCGTTTTCGTTCGTTTAATTGTTCGTTAAGTTCGCGTTCGTTCGTGTTCGGCTCGTTTAACTAATCGATATTTTTTTAACTTTTCGAGCGTTCGATTAGCTCGACTTGTTCGAATAGTTCGATTATCAAAGCTTACCTGCTATTATATATGAACAGTGGCAATCAATCAAAATTTAGAAAGTAAAATACCTGAACAGGACCAAAATAGCGATTACCAAAATATAGAAATGCAAATAAAAATAAGTTGAATTCCAGCACATTACAGTTCTTAATAAACATCCAAATTCGTAAGTCTTAATAAACATCCAGTACATAACATTCAAGAACAAAGTCCAAAACAATAAAGCAACTTCAGATTTGATCAACCACCGTCGGCTCATCATCTCATTTCCCGGAATTCCTACAATTAATATAAAAGACAAGCCAAGACAATCAACATAAAATACAACTGTATAATAGAAAGTTTGTATGGCAGCAGACAAAAAAGAAAAAAAGATATGGTAGCAGGCCAAAGAAAAAGATAAGGCAACAATTTACCAAACCAAGTAACCTGTTACATAAAAAAGATATGGCAGCAGAAAAAAAAATAAATAAATATGGCAGCAGCCATTTCCAAATTTCATGGCATTCTTGCAAACAATTTAGATGTCTATTTGATGAAAATTTGAACCTGGCAATAACATGTGCATAAGATAATATTATTTAAGTTAACCTGGCACTGGCAGCAACAATATGGAGCACGTCTTAAAGCAAATCAACTTCTTCAAAATGAAGATCTTCTTCAGGATCCTAAAACAAAAGAAAGAAAGTGAACATAGAACACATGATAATAATATTAAAATAATTATATATAACATGTTATATTAACAATACTAACCCGATTATGACGATTCCTGAGTCCATGGATATTTCGCACCCAATCAGATGCACATAAAAGCATTTCAACAGTCTCAACTGACATAGACGCACGACGATTATCAATGACTCTACCGCCGGCACTGAAAGTGGACTCGGAAGCCACCGTCGTAATAGGAATAGCTAATACATCAGCCGCCATCTTAGATAATCGAGGATACTTAATCTGATTTACCATCCACCACTCAATTGCATTAAACTGGGCAGTTGAATCACAAATTAAAACATCTTCTTCAAGGTAAATATCCAAATCAGATTTATGAGACTTCACTTTTTCCCCCCCTTGCCTAACAAATGAGTCAAACTTGGACTTCCCAGTAACAACAGTTCTCCCAATTACTTCATTGCTGCTATTACCAACTTGAATATTATCAGGTCTAGTTCTCTTATTCACGTTTCGCTCTTTGTCAAGTTGAAGGTCATTATGAGCAGTGACATAAGTTTCATAAAGCTCATATAACTCTTTCTTAACCAACTCAATGTTCACATCAGATGCTTCTTGGTAAAGTACGGGAAAAGAAAATTCAATTAGCTTCATCTTGTATCGAGGATCCAAAATGGCACTAAAAGAGAACAACAAATTACATTCTCCCCAATATTTATCAAACTTGGAAGTCATCGCTTGTGCCATAGCTCTTATATTCGAAGAACTATCAAGTAACTTCTCATTTAAGAGCTCCTTTATTCGATAAAGTTCAGGGAGAAATAAATTAGCTGTTGGATACTCAGAACCCGATATCAAATTAGTAATTTCATGAAAAACACCCAAAAATTGAGTCACTCCTTCAACCTTCACCCAATCATAAGCATCAGGTACATAATTAAAACCAGGATCAATATCTCGATAACGTGAAAAGACATCCTTAACTTCTAAAGCAGCAGCCAACATCAAATAAGTTCCATTCCATCTAGTTGGACAATCAAGGATCAATTTCTTGCAAGGTAAGTGAATTTGTTTCACAATTTTCTTTTAGGCATACAAAGAAACATACAGAAACAGAAGCAAGAAATGGAGGGAAAATCAGGAAAATTGGCCCAAATTTAACTTACAACTAATGGCGGTATCCGTGCGGTCCTTACTGAAGCAGCGTCCCAGGCTTCAATATGTAAGGAACTAAGGAGGAAGAAGCAGATCTTCGTCAAGCTTGAGTTGAGGGCGAGGGTGGAGCAGACCTCAGGCCGTGAACGAGGGCGAGAGTGGAGGCGTGGAGTAGATCTCTGGCCGTGAACGAGAGCGAGGGTGGAGCAGTTCCTGAGCCTTGAGTTGCACAACTTGACTGCTTGAGGGCGAGCGTGGAGCAGATAGCCGGAAAACTACTTGAGGACGACGGGCCGACGGGATCGGGTAGGTGCGGCGAAGGCGATTTTGGCGAGGGAGAGAGTTGAGATCTGATTTTTAGGGTTTCAGCCTGAAAAATGTCGAAAATGAGTATACATAGAGACTGAGAGTAAATGTGTAAGTGCATATTATATTATTAATATTAGTTATTTACTTTATTATTATTAGTATTATTATTATTTTATTATTATTATTATGTTCGCGAACACTCGTTTATGTTCGCGAACATGTTCGTGTTCGTTCGAATAATAAACGAGCTCAATTTCATGTTCGAGCTCGGCTCGATTGTTAAACGAACGAGCTTTAAACGAACACGAACGAGCTCGAACGAGCTTTCGTTCGCGAACGTTCGGTTCGTTTGCAGCACTAGCCCGTGCATATCACGGCTACACACTAGTTATTTTATCACAGGAGAACCGTTGAATAGAAAGATACAGGAGAACAGTTGAATCATGTGGATAGTAAAATGTTAAAAGTATTGCTTCCCAATCCGTTCGAAAAAAGGATACACGTCTGATGTTTGGTTGTTGTTTTTTATGTGATAGAAATGTTTTTTTGTTGTTTTTTTATGTCATGGAAAGTTGATTTGTATTCAATAATGAATAATACTATATGTTTTGTTATTGTGTTTATTCTCCTCTTATTTTGTAAATAGTTATATATATATAATATAATGTATTCAAAGTTCCAACCATTAAAACATAAATTCAAACCTAGTGAATTTTATATTTGTTGAATGATAATAAAAATAATTAAAAAATAATATCTAATGATATGGTTGCTAACATAGACACATTAGGAACAAAACGGTCAATTATAAATAGCTAATGAAATAAATTAGTAACGAACATTTCTATTTCTTATTCGGTTGCTGGTAGTAAATATTAGAAACAAATAGATCAGTTACAAATTTAGTTGCTACTACTCTACTATTAGAAACGATTTTGTTTGTTGCAAAAATCGTGGCAAACAGTAACAGACTGTTTTCCGTTTCCGAGCATTAGCCACCCTGTTTTCACTAACCGATTATGAAACGGAATTTGTTTCTTTATATTATATATTAGTAACAAAAAATGACCCTTCAGCAACAATAATTTCCGTTTCTGAATCTTAATTTGTAGTAGTGATTATTGAATTTATTGTCTATGTTGAGTCTACAACTAATGTACATAAGAATAAATAAATAATAAAAGTAAAATGAGAAGATTCAAACAAAATTTTGTTACATCTTTCGATGATTGCACAAGATCTAATCGCTATTTTGATGACAAATAAACTAAGAAATCATACATTACCCTTGTGGGGATAAGAAATTTCACTTATCTAGAATTTTTTTTATATCATTTATAATTATTCTATTTTATTTATAGTGTATCTCTTCAAAGTGAAAGTTATTTCTAAAACAATTCAAAATTCTTAAACTATTTAAGATCAACAAAAAAACTTAACATTAAAAATACGGTACAATATTATTAATTAGAACTCTTGAAAAAATAAAGCAATCACTTAATATTCTAAAGTAATTATTTATTTCATTAATACATGTGACATTTGTTTAAGATTCACCTTGAACAAAATCACTTGAAATTGTATCTTATGATATAATCTCCTATTCTATAAGATTCACCTTGAATATTGTTATTTCTAACATAATTACTTGAAATTGATCTTATGATATAATTTCATATATCTTAAGAATCACTTTGAAAATTGTTATTTCAAATAATCACTTAAAATTGTATCTTATGATATGCTACCCTATTTCTTAAGATTCACATTGAACATTATTATTTCAAACATAATTGCTTGAAATTGTATCTTGTGATATAATCTCCTATTCCTTAACTTCCCTTTTCGTTTTTTTCTTCATTTTTTCTTATTTTTTTCATTTCATTCTTGTTTATCATTAATTCTCTAAACTTTTTTTAACTCCTAATGTTATGAAAAAATCATGAAATTTAATCCTACACCTTGAGGGACTGCTCATTGGGTGGGCCTTTTCTCCCTATAATTTCAGTTATGCGATATACTATGCAATGTATCGCACTTTGTTCATTGTTATGTGAATAAAGGTGTGCGTCTTTTCGATTTTGATTCTCGACGATATGCGAAAAGTTATCGTATATGGTGAATTATGCGGTAGATTTGCATATGCGAGTTGTAAACTATGCGAAATTACGTTGCATTACATAAAATATGCGATGTTCGATTTGGATATGCGGTAAAAGAATTTGCGGAATGTTCTCGCATATGGTAAATTATGCGGTGAATTTAGATATGCGGGTCGTACACTATGCGAAAGTACGTCGCACAAAATATACGCAGTGGGTCAATCACGTAACGGAATTCAAGTCATAAAATATGCAAAATTACATTGCATAACCTAAAATATGCGACGTTCGTTTGGGATATGCAATAACAGAATACGTGAAAACTTATCACATATGGTAAATTATGCGGTGAGTTTGGATATGTGAGTCGTACACTAAGCAGAAATACATCGCATAACCTAAAATATGTGAGGTTCGACTTGGATATGTCATAACAGAATATGCAAAAAGTTATCCCAAATGGTAAATTATGCGGTGGATTTGGATATGCGAGTCGTACACTATGCGAAATTACATCGCATAACATAAAATTTGCATAAGTGTTTTGCATATTTATTAACTATGCGTCCGATTTGGATATGCGAGACACAGAATCTGCGAAAATGTGTTACATAATCGTAAAATATGGGACTATCAATTTGGGTATGGTATATTTATATGTGAGAAATAAATTTGCATAAGTAAAATTATGCGGTGGATTTGGCTATGTGATAAACAAAATTCGAATGTGTTTCGTATAATTGTTAGCTATGCGTCTGATATGGATAAAGTTAGTGTATATACGACAAAATCTCGCGTATTTGTTAATTATGTTGTTCATTTGGATATGTATTTATATTGCATATAGTTTCGTGAGAATTGGGGTGAAAAATAAGTTTTTTTTTTTTTTTTTATCGGTGAGTAAAAGAAAGTACGCGTATATATTGGGGTATAAAAAGAAAATCGCCCATCATCCAAATGTGCCCCGATGGTGAATAAGTATTGCTTCCAGGCGGTTGACTACACCTTATGAGCCTTAATGCAAGTATTGGTTCCATCGAGGAAAGATCTCTCATTCAACAAGAAGTTTGTTATATTTGGTGGCGATTTCATACATATACTCCCCGTTGTCCCAAAAGGCAGTTGGAGTGACATAGTTAATGTGATCATCAACTCATCCAAGTTGTGGCGGGATTGTATCGTTCTGAGACTGACTCGGAATATGAGGCTTCGAAGCCTTGGTGGGGATGATGAGTAAGATGAGTTGAGGCGCTTCTCGGAGTGGCTTGCAAGCATTGGCGATGGTACAGTCAGCGGATCGAACGACGGCTATGCCTATATCAACCCTGACAATATTCTTCTGAAATCACAAGGGTATCTTATTGCTACTATTGTTGAGAGTACCTACCCAATGTTCATGAGTTCAGGAGGCGATCTTAGCTATCTCAAGGACAGTGCCATACTCGCCCCCACACTTGATGTCGTTGAGTGTGTTAACGAGTACGTGAGCTCATTGAACTTCTCCGAGGGAAGGACTTATATGAGTTCGGACACTGCTTGCAAGTCAGATGTTAGATATGACCCTCTTCACGATCTTCATACTCCTGGATTTCTCAATGGGATTAAGTCTTGGGACTTTCGAATCATAAATTGCACTTGAAGGTCGGCACTCCAGTGATGTTGAGAAACATTGATCACTCCATGGGGTTGTGCATCCATACACATTTGGTTATTACTAAGCTCAGCTACCATGTCCTCGAATGGAGAATTTTAATCGGTGTCAGAGCTGGTAATAAGGGTCTTATTTCTAGGCTCACAATCATACATCTAATTTGAGAGTAATGTTCAAGTTTCAATGCAGGCCCTTTTTGCTCATGGTTTCTTATACTATGACACTCAATATGAGTCAAGCTAAGTCTCTATCACACGTCAGTTTACTACTGAAAGTCATGTATTCAGTTTTGGGCAATTTTACATGGCTCTCTCCAAAGTCATGAGTCAAGTTTGAAGATAATGATTTGTGGTGATGATGATTCTGACAATAGGAAAACTACGAATGTTGTATATATAGAAGTGTTTAATAATATTTACATTTACTTTCTTAATTTTTTTTTCATTGATTAAGTTATGATTTTTACTTTTAGTTGTATTTTTTATTACTTTTTCCTCTATCATATCACTTTCCGTGCAAATGCACGAGTTAAAACTAGTTTTCATATATAAAGATAGAGGTTTGACCATAAAAAGGTTTTGGTTTTTTTAATTATCAATATTAATTGCATTCATGGTTTATTTTAATCAATATTAATTTGTTTATTTTTATTTATCAATATTAATTGCATTCATGGTTCTTTTTATTATCAATATTAACTAGTAGTCGATCATGTACAGAATCAAGTAAAATATTATAAGGCATACGTATATATATTATATTTAAAATTATAAGTGAGGTAATGCGTATATCACGTTTTATAAATATGATCATTAGTAATTTATAAATATGATAATTAGTAGAAATAAATATTGTAATTATAAATTATTTTAGTTATATATGAATCACTAATATATTGCATAAAATATAATAAAGAGTGTGACTTTCTTTAACAAATTTAAGGGAGTATGACCAACTAATTAGTTAAAAGTATTAAAATTTATTATTATTATTATTATAGCAACTATTTATGTAATTTTAAGAGATTGGTTATTCCATTATAATCAATTAGGTACTTAAAAAATAGCTTAATGTGATAAAAATAAAAAGATAAATTAATTTTAAAATAAATAGCTTGAAGAAATTTTTCTTCTATATCTCATTTTATAAGTATATAACTTCCATAAACCTTTTAATGCAAATTTATAATTAACTACTATTATTAATAATTATTATATGATAAAGTAGTTAAAAAAAATATTGTTGCATTAATGCAAAATGTAACGATTAGTTTCTATAGTTACATAAAAATAAGATAAGCAGAAAAATTTTAAAAATAGCATTAATTGAATAGTCAGTAATTATATATATATATATATATATATAGAGAGAGAGAGAGAGAGAAGTGATCATATAAGAAAGAGAGATAGTGAAAGAAATGAGAATAAGATAGTTATGATGAAGCCAAACTATAGTCAGTCATTAATGCTGTCCATTATAGACATTTGGCCACTAATTAAGGGTATATTAGACATTTGATTTAAACTCACCATCCTGTGGGACCCACCACTACACACATTTAATAATCACCACCAACATCTCGTGCCAACTGCCACCTACTCCCCTTCCCCACTCTCTTTCACAAATACACACACACACACACACAACACACACACTGCACACAGCCACACACACACACTCCCAAACACACGGCAAGACCAACAACTCGCCGCCACACTCTTCTCTATCTCCCTGTTTCTATTTCACCATCTCGCCGGGAAAATCGTGTCGGATTTCTCCTCCACCGAAGCTGTGACGCCGGCGTCTGTTTTTCAGGAACCCGAGCCCACCAGTGGCGTAGCCAGAAATAGTTTCGACCCTGGGCTACTAGCCGAATTGTTAAGGAGTACAACTCAGTTTAGTTCGTAAAAAAGTCAATATCAACTTATTCATATAATAAAACATAAAAGTTGAAATTTAATTAAAACGAGCGTAGCTTAATTGATTACACTGGATTTATTAAATGATTCGAACCAAACAAGTCCATTTATTAAACGAGCGCAAGTTCGAACATGACGTATTCGACTCAATCTGGCTTCAATAATATCAATATTTAAAAAAAAAATTGAAGTATATGACATTTTCTTAAGTGTTCAATGTAAATTACAAAACGAATGAAAAATAAATTATTAAAATATGTCATGTTGTTGTAGTAAACTAAAACACATTATGTTATTTTTTTAGGCGTACTTATACGGATATCGATAGCATTTAACGAAAAATTGTAGATTTTTTTGGAGGTATAGTAATTGTTTTTTCAAAAAATAGTACTTCCGCGTAATTTCTTCTTGTCTACTGAAAGTTGACTTATAAAAATAATATAACTTATTTTAAAAACTACTATGAGGTGGACATTTTATTAGGCATGTCAACCCAACATACTTGTTATATGATATTTCACTTAAGTTGTGGAAGTCTAATGTCATTTTATTGAGTAGGCGGGTTAATTCGACATACTTGTTATATGATATTTCACTTAAGTAGTGGAATTTTAATGTTGTTGCATTGATTATGCTACGCACATTAATGAAATTAAATTATATATTTCATATATTCAAATAGCATTTATTTAAAAGTTAACAAGTAATTGATATATTTCACATATAAAGTAATGTAAACAATATAATTAATAGTGTCTTAAATCAAACATCAAAAGGTGAAAACAATGAAGAAAAAATGACAAAGTAAGCTATATATAACAACAAAAAATACATATGAAAAGTTTGATTGATGTCCAAAAATATGTATAATTTGTTGGTTTAATATAAAGTAAAATTAAATTAATATGAACTAAATAATTTTATCATGAATTAAATTCATTAAACATGAGATAAATTATTTTATTACTACTACATATTTAGACAAAACAAAAAATTAAGACCGGGCTCGAGCCCGGGAGAGCCCAGCTCTGTCTACGCCCCTGGAGCCCACGACAACTAGTCAACCTCCATGAAAGACCAGTACGTGAAACACCGACGAGAAGAGGAGTCATGTGGCTCGTCATTTCTTGGACGTGAAATGCCGGCGAAGGCTTCATTTGTGCACATTGACCGGACCGGATGCAGTAGACGGCGAGATAGAGTCAACCAGACGGTGGTTAGCTGACGGCGACGTCTCCATGGACATTGACGGACAGAAATGTTGCTCGCCGGCGAATTCGGTCATTCGGGCAATGTTTCAGGGGGCGGTCTTCGGCGGCAGGGTGAATTTGTTGGCGACAAGGTAAGGTTTTCAGAGTTGGATGTCGGTCAGTGGAGGTCCGGTGGCCGTAGGGTAAGGTTGTCATCGGCGGCAACGCCAATTGCGGGAAAATACGTCCAGAACTGTACAATAATGAGCAGGGACTAGAGTTTGCAAATTTGATAAGATTTAGGGGTTTAATTACAATTTCAGCATTTTTATTAGACTATAATAGAGTTCATTGGTGAATTTGTAATTAATAAAACTACAAATTAATATTTTAACATTTCATTTAATATTTATTATCTTTATAGTTTTTATTGAAATAAATGTACATAAAAAATATAATAATAAAAAATAATAGTATTTTTTTCGATTATCTAAATAAAAAATATAAAAATCAATATTATAATATAGTTTATTTATTATTTCGGTTATTTGAATAAAAAAATTACATCATACCAAAATAACCAATATATAGAACAAAATAAAAATAATAATCGAACCAAACTACAAATTTCATACTGAATTTCTGTTCATTGGCTCTCGTTCGATTTTGTGCAATCTGATAAACATTTTATGTGCAACCCGTATAACCATAATGTGCATTCATAATACGTAAAAAATATATATGGAAAAAATATAATTATTTTTCATAAAAAAATATAAATAAAAAATATCGGTAATATTTTTCATATAGTTTGGCATGTTCGGTTATGTTGTTTATTTAAAAAAAAAACAATTAAATCTCACCTTTAACCAACTAATATTATTCAATCGATTAACGAAATTATTGTAATTTTGGTAGGTGCAGCGTGTTGTTTTATAAGATGCATCATGTTGTGTTATAATTTGCAATATATTGTTGTATAGAGTGCAATGTATTGATATATAAAATGCAATATTGAAATTTCGGTACGTTAGAATGCTTGTGTTTTTTTTTTTTTTGGNTGGAATATTTTTTTATTTATTAATTTTATTATATAATTTATTTATTATTATAAATTCATTTTATTTTATTTTTATTTTACAATTAAAAATAATTTATTTTTATTATTTTTTATAGATCTGTTAACCAAATTATCCTAAATAATGTAAATGATATATTATTTGTATTATAAAATATTTAGTATTTAAAAATTTATATTTACTTTATAATATTTTTGTTGAAATTTCATAATAAATAAATTATAAAATATCAAAATCAATTATATGCATTCACACAGACAATAATGTGCATTTCGACTATAATTATTGTGCAACCTAACGATCGAGTATTTTTTATGTACATTTCATGTTTTAGAAACATTAATAATGTGTATTTCAATTAACATTATTTTACGTTTATCAAATTATTTATATAATAAACATATAGTTAATAATGTTATTTTTGTGTGTGTGTGTGCATTTGTGCATATTCAGATAGAATATTGTGCATTTGTACATTTTTATTCATCATTCTTGTATACTCAAATTTCTTCCCAATTATATAGGTTTTTCAGGCCAATGAGAAACGTGCACCGAATCCCCTCTATATATAATTTCAGAATGCGCTGAGCATACGTGGCAAACTCTCATGCTTCGGAATCTTATTTGGCAAAAAGTCATACTTTGGAGTTAGGCTTGGATATAAATTAATATTTATATTAATTGTATTTTAATATTGTTTCTTATTATAACCATTTAATTAAAAATATATTCTTAAAGTTGATAACTTTTGTATTTCTTATCAGTTTTACATATATAATATATCAAATTAATCATCTTTTGATGGGCTTCGATTTGACATCCATATTGTACATATAAAATAAATAAATTATATTTATCTTTATAATAATAAAAAAATTATTTATTAACATTAGTTAGAAAATAAAATTATTATCAATTAATATATTTATGTTTAATGTAGTTATATGTTAGTGTGTTGCATTTGAATTGATATTATTAAGTCCGTTTGTATTTTACTATTTATATATATAATACAAAACAATAATATATATCCTTATAAATAAAATTTAAATTTATTTATCAAACTAAATTAAATTATATCAAATAAAACTATAAATTATATTATAAAGTAATAGAAATTGGTATGTATTCTTTTAAAAATGATATTTATTTCAAATCTAATCGGTATGTTGTCAATGTGATAAATATAAATAATTATTTATATAAATTCTAAAACTACATATAAAGTTAAAAAACTGTGAAACACGACTGATACGACACTTGATGTATTAGACATTTAATTAAGTAAAAGAATTAATCTATTTTGTTTAATATTAAATAAACATATTCTACACTTATTCATATACATATCACCATATTATTTTTATTTATTTAAGATATATATTTTTGTACTTATGTAATAGTAAATAATATCAATATTTTTATATGATATAAGTAAAAAAATTCAACACGGGTTGACATTTTCATTTAATGTACGGGTGTTTAATTATTATAATTAAAAAATATAATTTGACAATTTAATTAAAATCCAAAGTAATGTTTTATATAAAATTAAATTATTTTAGTTTTTTTAAAAAAAATAAAAAATTTAATATTTTTTACCAAAGCTTTCTAATTCAACACCCGTGTAATACATGAGTATTGTACTAATATGAATATTAGAAGAAAGGCAAACTTCATAATGAGTTGACTAAGAACCAATTTGCAATATACTCAACTCTAATTAAATTGCATATCGGTCCTTTTAAATTATCTAATTTTCACAAAGCATCCCATTCCCAAATTCTCGACAAGCACGACAATTCTTGACAAGAACGGCGAGCACACAGTGAATCGTTGCTCATGTTCACCATCGATCGTACACCCGAATTTTCAAGAGAGAGCGGCCGACTTTGTCTGTAGAGAGCGGTCGACGGGGGCAGGGGCAATGGCGGCGGCGGACGAGCGGTGGCAGACTGACGGCGACGGCCTATGTGTTGAACCGTGACTGTGTGTGTGTGTCGATTTTCTGTGAGAGAGAGAGCGAGTGAGCAAGAAAGAGCGGGTGGAGGGGCGGTGGCAACGGCGGACGGGCGGTGGCGGGGAGTGTCTGTGTGTGTAGATTTTGTTGTGCGTGTTTCTGCGTGGATCTGTGTGTTTTTGCGTGCGTGTGAGAGAGAGTGGGGTGGGGTTGGGGTGGGGTGGCGTGTGGGTTAGTGGATTTAGTTGGCAGGTCCATTAATGTAGATTGGGGCCCACTAATTTTGGTGTAGTGTTAAAAATTACTATAATGTCCTTAATGAAGGTATAATTTTGGCTTTTTTTAGTCATTCGATCGATCTAATGGATACGATTCATTCTTATTTCTTTCACTGAGTACTATTCTCATCGGAGCGCGGCCCTGTATAAATATATATTATATATATTACATTCACATGTCAACTTTCCATATGGAACTTGATCATCGGAGAGTTTACACCAGAAAGCGGAAACCCTCCCGATGGTTTTTCATGCACTCCTATGAGTGAGTCAGGCCAATTCACAGATAAGAGAAGAAGACCGGTGACCTCATACCGGAGTTATTTGAAAAGAAAAAAACAAAAAAACTGTCCAAATACGCAATAAGAATATTTAGATTCACCAGGAATTAATCCTTATTGTACAACAGAATCCTCCAGAATAACAGTTCTTACATTAAAAATAAACCCAAAGCAATGCGTAACAGAGTCCAGCATTAACCAGGATGATCACATTTCATTCATCAGAACTCTAGTCTCTATGAATTCTCTGCAAACAGCATCATTTCCATAATATCGGAAGATTAAATTGAACAGTTCTCCATCTTGACAACCAGAAAAACAAATTACAGCACAAACATAAGCAGCCAAGATATAATTAGTCAACAAATTAATTAATGCGTGCTGGTTGGAACAATCCAAACAAATCCTTCCCTCGTCTGCTTGTCCGATACGTCAGTGCCCAGCTCTTGGACTGTGTAGAAGTCATCTGAAACTTTTCAACACCACCCACAAATTTTCTAAATCTCAAATATCTGGCTGCACACTACGAGAAAATCAAAATAATGGAACGCTGAGCACTTAACGGGCATCGTATCTTTATGGGCCACATTTTTTTATGCTTTATACCTGCACTTGAAAAAAGAGAGGTGTCGTCTCTAATCCTCATAGCTATAAACTCCTGTAGTCTATCACAGTGACTTCATCATCTGGAGCATCTAGGTCATTATAGCTGCAAAAGTGTTAAATTCCAGGTCAGAATTCATATGCGACACGAATTACAGTAGTGATAAAAACGAGTTGTAAATTGTAATGCATTTCATGCAGATTGAAGTCTAATTTAAAGCATGGTTTATACAATAAATTATCGATATTTTACTAGCATCTATATCTATATCTATGTAATATATAATAAGAATAACCATTTATAAAAAATTTTAGAAGCATTTAATGCATACCTTTTTTGGAAACTTTTTAATATATGCATTAATTGCTTCCATATAAACGTTTTAAATAAGATCAAATCAAATATGATAAAAAAAATATTGTTTCCTTGAACAATTTTTTTAATATCTGCAATAATTTCATTGATATCCATTATAATAAATTACAAGATTGATTTTCTGTGATTCATGTTGATAATATTTTTGTCAAAATAAATATTACAACATATTTTAAGTTCTAAGCACAAGAAATCAAGTTGATGAATTAATCTTTGCCAGTATAATTTTTTCTCATGCTTTATTTCATTATATAAAAAATAAATTATTCTTCAAATTAATATAATTTACCATTTAAGAGATAATGACCAGATACATTAAATAGTATTACTACTGGTCAAAAATTAAAATTGAAATATATTAACTGTTATTTAGAATTTATTTGTATATTATTGACAACCATGATTTTTTTTATCATTTTTTTATTTTGATTTCTTTCTATAATGAAATTTTCGTAAAATATATTTTCATTGATGAGTATGCTAAACAAACTATAAATCCTTATAATGCAAATTAATCTTAATTATAGAAGAGATTGAGTTTTTGGCATTTACTAAATCAAAATTTTTTAATTAGTATAAAAAATTAAATTTAAAAAAAAACATGTGTGTATATTTTGTATAATATTTATACACTATTTAATTTTAAATTTATTTTCATATTTTAAATTGATTACATAAATAAATAATACTAACATGCATTATATATATTCATTACATAAAATAAAAAGAAAAATAAGACGTACAACTTCTATAACTTTGATAAAAATTAATGACATTATATGACAACAAAGTTTATAATAAAATAATAATTAAGTATTATATGGTTAACAAAAATAAGTAAAACTGTTATTAAATTCTCTTATATCAAAGAATAAATATATATACTAAAATTAAAGAATAAATATATATACTAAAATTAAATTTATGTTAGTATAAATGTGTTAGTGAGATAATATATTAATTATTTTACAAGCTAGCCCTAACATACTCATATTTAATGGTTTTGATAAAAAAAACGCGGATTAAAAGTGGTGAAAAATAAATTATAACCTTATAGTTTTTAGACTTAACAGTGCTTAAAAGAGGTGGAAAGTATATGATAACCCTATTGTTTTTTAGTCTTAAACGGACAAAACTTGTGAAAATAACTTATTTAATATCTCTGTCTCGTGCGATACTCGTGCATCGCACAGGGTACGTACTAGTTGGTTCCAAAAATATCTACTTTTGATGGAAGATTAATTTACCATTGATACGAATAAATTAAGGACTTCCAAATTTTTTTTAAAAGGATCGAGAACAAATTATCAACCTTCGCAAACGCCGAGGATCCTGTCGGAGAGTGGGTGGTAAGGCAATTATTGGCGAAGGTCCACTTAATTGGGGTCCTGATCTGCCTCCTTCAAATGGGGTTGGACCTCCTTGGTCCCGCATCATTTGCATCGCAACTTCAGGAGGGGCGGGAACAAAAGGCCCCAGTGGACTGTGATCATCAGTTGACCCGAACATAATCAGTCAATCAAAATACTAAATGCATAAAAAAATTGATGTACATCTGATTCTGTTGCAAGATAACAGGTTTTTTGAGGATCTGCCTAAATCCTCCACCCTAAATGGGTGTTAAAGAAGTAGAGCATAAATGGTTCGAAGGTTTCCTTTAAGTATCCATACGTTTGATTAAACATTGGTAAATTACATCTTTAGCACTGAAAATATCACACATATATTACGAAATATGAACATAAACCCACATCTACACTATTGTGTGCGGACGGAGAAACATTACATTATGAATTCCAATTTGTGCAGATATTAATTGAAACTCAGGATAAAGGGAGAAAAAAAAAAAGACTTACCCAGCACCAGGAACAGGCATCAGCACTGGGGGAGGTATATCCGAAGGGAAGGCTGCAACTGGGATGCCTTGTCCACCAAACGAATCAAATAAAGGCTCATCCGTATTGTTCCCATCGCTATTGGCAAAATCACCAGATTGAGGATTCTCGGACCTATCAAATCGGTCATTGCCATTGGCACGGCCATCACGTTCTCTTCGATTTCCCCTTTCATCTCTTAACCTATTGTCCATGCCAGGCCTACGTCTCTGTGGTTTCTCCTTCTGCATATAGAATCCAATGTCTACCTATAAACTCAAATTGAGATACCGAAAATAAAATTTTGTTATAAGGAATTTCATATAAGTCATACCAAAGACAGCTGCATGATGGGCGTCCCTCCGGGTGCATTTTCATCACTGCAACATATAACAGTTAAAAAACACACCTTACAACCGAAGAAAAAAAAAAAAAAGCAGCATCACAAACATAGTCTAAAACCACCATTACTTCATGTAATTCTGAATATACAGCTCCTCACGCAATTTCGACGTGAGCTCCGCCACAAGTTCCGGGTGTTTCAACTTCAAATGCTTGTGAACAAACTCGGAAGCATGGAAAAGCTTTGTACAGCCTTTTGCCCCACACCCATACTTCCACCCATATTTCTCGTCTCTGATTTTACGGACGTATGGGTCCAAAGCTTCAGCAGCAGCTGCATCTATTTTCTCCTTCCCAGTCATAATCTCCAGAAGATCAGAACTCTTCAGCCGCTCTTGCCACTTGGAATCTAATCTTTTTTCCCACTCATTTCCGTTAACGGCACCTTCAGAAGTCTTGCCTTCCACCCTCACATGGCGTAGGCCTTTGGCCTCATTCGATTCAACTAGTCCATAATAGTCGACCTTATGAATGCGCCAGAGATAAGTGAGGAGGGTGTCCAGAAGCTCGACACCCTCAAGGCCTTTGATCGTATTCAATCCACGAATGATAATGACAGGACCACTCGAGCTCCCGTGCGACTTATCTCTGCTAGATCTATCGTTATCAGCTCTACACAAGACATTATCCTCGATTCCCTTCTCGCCGTCGAGTTTCCGGACAAGAGCCTGAGCTTGTTCAATATCGATTAGGATTCGTCTGGGGTCGGAGCATATTGGGTGGGCCTTTGGGGCAGACGAGCTATCAGACTCTTTGGCACCTGCACGACCTGGCCGCTTTCTTTTAGCAGCAGCATCAGGTTCATCATCAGAATTAGGCTCACCAAGCTGTTCAACTTTGTTTGATGGGGGAGGACTGAAACTGGGGCCTCTGTTGGTATACAGGATAAAATCAGGTTATTATTACGATGAAAAAAGTTAGAAATGAAAGAACTGGAGTTTTCAGGAATGGATCTTACACATCCAAAGTCCCACTCTGCAAGTCAAGCTGAAAATCCTTTGCTAACTTCCTTGCAAGTTCATTCCTCCTGTAAGGTCCCATTAGGAATGTCATTCAACAGGATCAATTGAGGAGGGGACAAAAAGATATTAGGAGGGGATATTTTCCAGGCATTGCTTATTGATAATAGAAAGGCGGGATAGCTCATGAAAACTTCCACCAACTAAACATAACATGCTTACCGTTCTATAACAGCAACCAGGTTGGTTGGGTGATACTTGTCTTTTAACCTGAACATATAAACCAGCTCATGTAAGGCAAAGTACATGAGAAGTGAATGTAAGCATAATTTAAACTGAAACAGGTAATGAACGGAAGATGAAGCGTGTACCATTCTTCATCCTTATGAGCATTAAAGTACGTTTTTTTCTGCGTTGATATATACTCTGTCCTGTACTCTTGGTACCTGATCAAGCTAAGCCAGTTAGTAAATAGAAAAATAAAATTCAACTGGAAACTCGCACGAGATTGGGAGAAGGGTGGGGGGGTTGGAAGGAAAATCAAAGAAAGCAATAAAAAGCGTGCACAAAGAAGAAAATCAAGCATATAACAATGAAATTTTCATATCCAACCTGCGTTCAGCTTCAGCTGGTAAGATATCATCTTCAAGCTCCTGAATAAACTGTTTATAAGACATCATTCCTTCCCTACAGAAAAACAACAAACTACATGAGTAACTCTGACTTAAGATATAACATGCAAATAATACTAAAAGAAACCAAGAGCTAAAAGTATACATGCAAGTTCGCATGAAGAAATAAACACAACGAAAAATACAAGATGCTGGGTCCAGATGACGCCACAGTCCAACAATCTCAATGGGGTACCAACAGCAAGAACGAGTCTACAATTATGGAACAGAACAAAGTCATGCATCCTTCCCATAAATTCCTTCCATGAACTTGCATGGGACATTTAATGGTTTCATCACAGGAAGAATCATTCTATGAAGTTCAAAAGTGATTAGAATGACTTGTCACAAGACAGGAAATCTGTAGACAGTGCCAATATACTTATATGTGAATTTACAGTACGCATACAGACTAATAAAAGGCATCACAATAACTGAAGGTGCTAGCACGAACATTTGAACGTGACCCAATGGTTCAGTGTAAAGTTGTAAACAGATCAACACTAAGATAAATAACATAGAATGATACACACCTTTGGATTCCCCCCACATTAAAAGCATCAGCAAAACCGCCACGACCAGAATCCCAATCTGCAGAAGAACCAAAGGAAAATGGTACATAAACCACGGCATGGAAAAGCTCCACAACAGATTTAAAGCTACAATGACACAAGAAACCACCTGAGAGTCTATGAGTGGTTTAGGCTCACAAAATATGCAGCAAACTTAAAAGTTTGAACCACGGATCATGCAATGACTAAAGCTTCTACAGCAGTTCATATGCTATCAGACGACAGTAACACCACAATGATGGGTGGAAAATGATAACAAAAATTAACAATATCACCAGAATGAGAAGAGGAGAACAGGTTTGGCTAATAAGTTCCAAAGTCGACTTGCAAAAAAGAATATTAATCAAGTATTGAATATCTATGCAGAAAATGCTACAATACTCAGCAATGGCATAACAATTTCTGCAAGATTACCAGATGGACCACCTTGATAGCCACCACGGCCCATGTATCGACCATGAGGCCTGTCATCGTGATATCTACCCCCAGTATCACGCTCATATCCACCAGGATAATCATGCCCGAATCTGGAGAACAAAAAGGGTAAATTGAAAGTTATTACAACCTCCTGGACACCGTAACATAAGCCCTTAGTTGCACAGTAAAGGAATTAACACGAGACAAAGAAGAATCAAGCGAAAAAAAGATGCACTTTAGCAGGCAGCCTGGCAAGAACATGTGTGAAAGAGAGGACTCTTCATATTTGAATATGTATATATACAAACAACTCATGTAAATACATAAGTGTAGACTAGATAAATCAGTATACGAGTCTTAACTATTACAAGGGATATTATGATTGAATTGCCAGTACTGACAAAAAGGCCTAAAACTAGATGTCGTGGGCAATGTTCATAACATGAATACTAGATTGTGTTGACGGTACAAGTATTTTAAAA